GCCTTAAACTTATAGAACTCATACATAAATGTAGTAAAAGATGAGTTAAGCAAAATGAGAGAAAAAATTATTAAAGAAGTAATATTGTCTAATTCTTTTTTTCCCTCTGCAATAAAAAAACCATAACTGCTTTCTGCCTAGGTCAGAACATTTATAGCACAAAAGCAAATATTCAGAAAAATGTTATTGAGTGCGTACTTTGCAGAGGACATTGTTTAGGACAGAGAGTTTGTTTAGGACAGACATTAACATAAGACGTGATTCTTTCCTTCTGGTTCCGAAGCTCGTACTCTTGTTTTATTAGTACACGTCTGCCATACTAAGGACTGTGTCATTGTGGGAAGTCTGTTCCTGTGTGTGACACAGCTTAGTTCTCTTTACTTTTACTCCTGCTCTCCCCTCCCTCCATCGTTAGGTCACCTTCCCATTTGCAGAAGCTCCACCTCCCTATTTTCTGTTATCTGTTTTTTATTTTACTTTTTAAATTATTTATGTTTTGTTTCTCACATAAGAGAAGCCGTGTGATACTGAAGCTGGTGTCTGATTTATTTCACTTAACATTATTGTCACAAGGTTCATCTACTGTTCCACCAATGACCCACGGTGGAGTGGTCCTCCCTGGTGTAAATGCTTTGCGTACCTTACCCATGCATCCCCTTACATATATGCAAGCTGACTTAGCTTTACAAACTGTGCAACTATAATCATGAATATGCATGCATCTCTATGATATGATGTTTTTAACTCTTTGGAGAAGATACCTAGAAGGGGAATAGCTGGATCAAATGGAGTTGCTAGTTTTAGTTTTTTGAGGATTCTCCATATTGATTTCCATCATGTTTCTGAATCTCATCTTTTATTTCTGTACAACCTATATTTATGTATATTTGCTTTTTCCTTTATTTCTTCTTGCATTTCCTTGTTTTCATCTGGAATGATTTCTTCTCTGGGACTTTTCTTGTTTGTTTGATTTATAGAGGGAGTAGTTTTTGTTTGTCATTTTTTTTAATTGAGGTTTACTCTCTACAAATTCCCTGCTTTTGTTTGTCTAAAATGTGTTCATTTCATCTTTTCACCATATTTAAAGTAGGTATAGAATTTCTGGCTACCAGTTGTTTTCACCCACCTTCTCATGCTTTCTCACGTCACAGACTGGGGACATTATTAAACAAGAGAAAGGTATTGGTTCTGGACCAAGAAGTCTGAGGGAGGCCTCCAGTGCCTGGCAAGACCTTTCTTGTTATGCTGTGGCATGGCAGAAATACAGCACAAGCAAACACATGCAAGTCAGGAGGCTCGTGAGAAAGAGGGAAGCAAGCCAGATTCTCCCCTTCTATGCTTAACCGTTTCCACAATAACCAACCCATTCCCACAAAACAGCCTTAATTCATCATGAGGGCAACGCATTCACAGCCTAGCACTCCTTCAGAGCCCTCTGTTTCTATCCTGTGGCTTTGACAAGTTACGTGAGTCTTAGAGGGAACAGTCAACCTCACTAACAGTCTATTTTTCCGTGTTGTCATCTCATTGTCTTTTAGCTCCTGTAATACTAGCTAAGAAGTCGTCTGTAAGTTTATTGGTGTTACTTTATAGACAGTACATCCTACATCTCTGAATGCTTCAAGATTTTTCAATTAATATCTCATTTTTCAGCAATTTTAATATTTTGTCCCTAGATATAATTGTGTTTGTTTGTATTCTATTAGGGGTTTTCTGAGCTGCTTACATCAATGAGTCAAATCTTCCAGTTTGGGAAAATTATTGATCATGTTTTTAAGTAGTTATTCTTCCCTGATCATTCTCTTTTCTTCTTCTAAGACTACAAATACGTGTGCATTAAACCTTTATTCTCTATTGTCTTTCCCTTTGTGTTTCAGCTTGGGCTTCAATTTATATATTTCCTGTCCACTTCTCTTTTAATTTACTAGTCCTACTTTCTAATACCTCTATTTTGCCTTATATCCTATTCATTCAACTCTTAATTTAAAATACTGAACTTTATGTTTCTAGACTTTCTATATGGCTTTCATAGATTTCCATTTTCCAGTGCATTTTCCGTATTTTAATTTGTTCTTTCCATCTTTTTCTTGAACATTATTTTAACATTCCTAATATATTAATCCCAATAGTATCATCATATGGTGTTTGTTTGTTGTTATCTTTTTCTTATCATTCATATTTTATTTCCCTTTTGCGTGTCAAGGTATGTCAGACCCTGTGTATAGAAGTAGAGGCTTCAAAAAGAACAAGAATGGTAGTAAACCATTGTAATTTCATTTTTAAAAATGAATGTATTTTCAGATATGTAGAAGTGGAAGAATTATTAATATTTATTACATTTTCACAAGTGTACTCTGAAATTGTTTAGACAACCTAAGTGCAGTATGATACTACATCTCAAAATGAGTGGAACAGATTGTGTCTGTTATGATTAATACATGTATCAACTTGAGAAGTTTAGAAGTTTAGCTAGGAGACTTAGCAGGGGGCCAGGATCCTTACTTTGTAAATATCCTCATTCTGCCCAAGCCACAGGCACAGAGACTTTGCAAGTGTTACATTGGCCCTGGGGAGTCAGGGGTGGCCAGTACACAATATAAAGGAGAAAAGAAGGCTTGCTGTTCTCCCCTTTTCTCTGGCTGCTTTTGCTGGCTGCTGCTTTGAAGTGCTGCCCCTGTGCCTTGTGCCACCTAACCCTAACCCTAACCCTAATTATGGACTGAAACCTCCACAAACAGTGAGCTAAATAAACCTTTCTTTCCTTGCTTTTGGGTGTTGGGTATTCTGTCCCAGCAACAAGAGAGAAGTAACCAAGACAGTTACTAAAGGAATAATGCTACTTGCACTTGTAGGAATAATACTATTTTATATGTATACTCTGAAACAAACAAACAGACAAAAAATGGCTGGCTCTTTCATTAACTACTCAGAATGTATAGTAAAATAATGGAAACTGATCATTATTAAAAGAAAAGAAGGCTCCAGGTGATATACTCCATAAGACAGTGTGTTCCCCTTTCTTCTTTTACACAGATTGGGTAAGAGGCTGATTACCTAAATCTAGTCAAAAATTGAACTGGGGAGGAGGAGCAAAGATGGCAGATAGATAACAACTGGCTACAGAGGTTCCCTGAGATAGTCAACTTAGAATTCAACATAATACCACATAGCGAGCCCCAAACAGAGGGAAATAAATTCTCTCGTCCCAAGAAAAAATTAAGGTGACTTGCCAACCATCCGAGGTCCCGCCACAACTTGCCAAGTCATCCGAGGCCCTGCCATGACTGGCCAAGGTCCCACCGCGACTTGCCGAGTCGTCCGAGGTCCTGCCACTTTGACTCACTGGTGACGCAGTTACATTGAGTTCGGGGGTCGGCCAGCCAAACAGAGAGCTGAGTTGGAGAGCAGCCTGCATTGACCTGTGGTGAGTGATAGGAGTGGAACCATTCCATAAATATGGGGGCTCCGGTAGATGACATTCTGAGACTGGGCAGGACTAGCAAGTACAAGGGACAGCAGTGACTTCCATCAATTGTTCCCTTCCCAAATGGGATTGGTGGAGTGAGCCAGACCTGGGTCACGTGACCTAGCTGAGACCCAATAGGTTATCCGAGGCCAAGTCCCTGCAGCGGTGGCGCACACTAACCACACTGGCCCAGTGGGGCCTCGGAGGTTTGGCTGGTCCAGAGGGGAGGTGGGGCAAAGTAATACAGTAGCTTGACTGGTCCAGAGGGGAGGGACCAGCATATACTGTCCCTGTCTGCAAATCACTAGCATTCTGTAGTGTGAAGGATCATCTAGCCAGTGCCCTTCAGAAAAATTGTAACCAACAAAGGAAGAAACTGGGGCCTCCTGGAAGAAGCAAAAAAGATGGGAAGAGGAAGCAACAACAAAAAGTCCCCAGGCCCCAACCCTGAGAACATTGACCCAGGACAGGTAAATACAAGGGAGAATGAGGACAGCAAACATGCAATATCAGACACGGCACCAGTGGGTATGAAGAGATATATTCAGGACCTCATAGATGAGTTCAAAGTGAAATATTTAGCCAAATAAAGCAAGATATAAGAAGATTAATAAAAGAGATACTAAGCACCCCTCAAGCACACACAGACAGAAGAAGGGAGGAACTCAAACAAAGGAGAGAACCATTTGGTGAAGAATATAAAAAAATATAGAAGACATGAAAGAGATTCAAAGAGATCACCAAGAAATTAAAAACTCTATGGAAAGATGGCAAATTAGCTTGAAAGAAACTAAGGATAGATTATCCAAATTGGAGGACAATTTTGCAATGTGGGAGTATGAAAGGAAAAACTTTTTAAAAATAACAAGGAAACAAGCAGTAATAATACAAAGGCTAGAAGACGACAAAAGGATCTATAACTTGAGAATAAAGAATGTGAATGAAGAAGCAGGGGTCCAAACAATGGAACTACAAAGGTTATTCACAGAAATAATTAAGGAAAACTTCCCAAACATAGGAAAAGGAAATGATATTCTGATATATGAGGCATATAGAACTCCAGCCACCTACAACCAAAACAGAGCTACACCCAGACATATAGTAATCAAGATCCCAGATATTCAATATAAGAACAGAATATTAAAAGTTGTTAGAGACAAGAAACAGATAACCTACAAAGAAAGGCCCATCAGAATAATGGCAGACTTCTCAACACAAGCCATTAAGTCAAGAAGAGCCTGGAGGGAAATATTTCAAGCCCTGAAAGAAAATAATCTCCATCCCAGATTGATATACCCTGATAAACTGTCTCTAGAAATTAATGGAGAAACAAGATGCTTCCAAGACAAAGAGGAACTTGGGAAATTTGCAACCACCATTCCAACTCTATAGAGAATACTGCAGGGCATTCTAAAGAGAGAGAAAAGTACTAGGATTCCAGGAACAGTGGCAGAGAGGCCTCAATGAATGGAGCATAAAACAGAATGAAGAAGATAAGCAGACAATTGATGGCAAAAAAACAGCATAACAGAAATGAGGCAGAGAAGATTTTATTCAAAACTGATATGATTAATAGTATCAAGTCTGAGAGTATAGGCAATTACACTGAAGATGACAAGACTCTATGATACACATTCTAGTTTGATAACTGCCAGTTTTTGAAGTTCTATACTATATACAAAGTTGTGTTTTTATTAATACAGTTAATACAGCTGACATATTCAATTATACTATGTCTTATGATATTACCAATTCTATTGGCGATAACAAGAGACAACACAGGAACCATGGTAGAACTCTTTGTACAATGGTCTTATATGTTTATTTCGTTTCATGTGGTTATAGGAATATGTTTTGTTTTGCCTTGCTTTGTTTTGTTTCTCCCTCTAATATAGAAAAGATAGCAATACATGTTAAGACTCATGGGTGTGTAGAATCTATAAACAGTTTATGAGAACTGATCATATGACACATGATGAAATGAACAGATACTTTGAAGAAAAAGAGACACTAAAATACCCAGTGCTGATCCTAGAGTCTCATAATGTGACACCCAGCAATAATATTATTCTTTGTTCAGAGTGATATTAGCCTGCTTGGGTTTATTCAATCTCAACATAATTGAAGATATGGATAACTACATGTATGTTTAGGTGTATAGGATTGATAACCTAAGTTCTAAGTTTTTGTTGGATAGTTGAACAGATGGTTGCAGTCTCACTGTTTGAATCCCCAATTTATAAGCTTCACTTTAGTATCTTGAATAACTATTTGGAAGAAGACAATCTGTAATCATCAACTAGTGATTTCTTACTGTTTATTTTTTTCTTTGAAATTATGTATTATTTCTACCCATTTTCTGTTTTGTTTTGTCTTTCTTTAATTAAATTTTTTTAAAAAGATACTACAGTACCCAGTGCTGATCACAGAGTGTCATGATGTGAAATCCAGCAATTATTCTTTGTTCAGAATGATTTTAACCTGCTTTAGTTTGTTTAATCTAAACATAAATGAAGATATGAATAACTGCATGTATGTTTAAGTGTATAGGATTGACAACCATGTTACTAAGTTTTTGTTGGACAGCTGAACAGAACTGTTTGCAGTCTCACTGTTTGAATTCCCACTTTACAAGTTCCATTTTTGTATCTTGAACAACTATTTGTAAAATGACAATATGTAAACATCAACTAATGATTTCTTACTGTTTATGTTTTTCTCTGAACACATGTATTATTTCTACCTATTTTCTGTTTTGTTTGTTTTCTGTTTTCTTTAAATAAAATTTTTTAAAAATTGAACTGGATTGAGATTTGGTGGTTGTTTTACTATGCATCAACAAAGCTTTGGTTTCCCTTTACCCTTTGGGTTTAGCCCTCCTACACTTTTGATGGAGAACCTGGTGGGTATACATAAATTCCCTCAATCTGGAAAAATTGTGGAAAATCTATCTCTGTCCTTCAGAGGATTTCAAACCAGCTCTCCAGCCCTCTAGTCCTATAAAGCTTAAAATCTGGCAAAGGTTTTAAAGGGAAAAATATTCATGTGCTTGAAATCAGATTCTATCCACTGAGATTTCTTGTTTTTTTAAAACATTAGCCTGTGGGTGGTTTCATTTGCCTTTAGAAATTTTTAGATTCATTCCTCAGTACCCAAAAAGCCCAAGAATTCAGCATATATCCATAGAGGAATTCCGTATGAGTTTGAAAGACCCAAAGGTCCTGACTTGGTTATTTTCTCATTGCTGAGCCAAAATACCCAATGCCCACAAGTGAAAGGAGAGGTTTATTTTAGCTCACATGGTTGTAAAGGTTTTAATCCATAGGCAGCTGGTTTCAAGGTAGGGTGGCATGGCAGAGAAGAGTGGTAGAGGAGAAACAGTCTATGGCATGGCAGGTAAAAGGAAGCATTTTCCTTCTGTCTTCCCTTTTTTCCCACCCAGGCTACACGCCTTATTAGGTGATGCCTTCCCATTATGATAAACTAGCTATTCTACACCCACAATCCAATATCACACACCCGTTGTCCAGCCATCCCCCAAAAGCCTCACTTATCAGTATGTGAGGCTTTATAGGGTGACACCTAGATAGATATAACATTCTGTCCCTGGCCCCCAAAACACTCATATGAATCCTTTTATGCAAGATGCATTCAGTTTATCTCTAACAGTTGCCAAAGTCCTAGCAATTTTAGTTTCAAGTGGATTTTTCCTCTTGAAAAGTCCAAGTGGAAATTCTCCTCTGAGATTTAAGGCAAACTCTTAGCTGCAAGTTCCTGTAAAAACAAAAGAAAAATTAAATGCCTTTCAACATACTGTGGCACAAGATAAGCACCCCCATTCCAAAAGGTACAATATTTCTAGCTTCTCCAACCCTCTGAGGTATCCAGTGCACTTTTAGCTTTACATTCACAGCTTTACACCCCGCCCTCTCAGGGACACTGCCTAGCATCCCTGAAATATGGGTGGAAGCCTTCCTGACCCCACAACTCTTGCATTCTGTGTGTGCCTAAAACCAACACCATGTGTATGATGCTGAGGTCTGCTGCTGGCTGGATCAGTTGCTAGACTTTTCCCTTAGCTGTAGATGCCAAGTGCCTGGACTGCTGAGTTCTATAAATGCAATTCTGAGGAATAAATTCCCTAGGCTACCAGAATTCTGGAACATAGTGCTCTTGGAGTCTCTTCTCAAAACATAAAGTCTTGCACATTTGCAGTTTTGAGCTTGAAAACCCTCAAGCAATCTTATGTATTGTGCTGTTCTAAAATACAAACCTTAGATTATAACTTGTTCTGTGAGTGTTCTGCAAGATGAATAAACATTTCTAATACATTTTAACTTGATAAAAAAAGTGGTGATGCCAAACACCACACAATCAGAACTAACCCAATTATTCTTCTATCTCCTTTTCCCTCTCCATCTCTCTCCTTCTCTCCTCCCCTCTTCCTCTCTTCCCCTCTTTTGGTCTGTTTCTCTCTCCTCTCTCTCTCTCTCTGCAGAATGGTGCATTATCATCTCCCAAAAGCAAGTGCCTACGAAGATCTCATCTGCAGAGGATGAGAAAAAAGTGGAGGAAACTCTCACTTCAAATGAGATTAGAGCAGACGTGGGAAGCAGTGCCTAATTTTGTATAAAAGCACCACCCAAATAAGGCTGTAGCAATATAAGCAATAAATCTGCTTAACAACAATGCAATGTGATATTTCCACAAAATACTCAAAAGAGGGCAAAAGCAAGCATCACTGGATAGTTTCCTTATTAAGCTTGCACAAAAACAAACAAAAAAAAAAGATTCCACTTAGCCAAAGATAGCAGTGATTTCATTAGTGATAGGGAAAGTCACCTTACATAATAACCCTCCTCTCTCTTGTCTTCCTCACACAAACCACAAAAGTTTTTAAAGATAAGTGCAAGTTAACTTGCTTATTTTTTATATTTTATATTTTCTTTATTATTTTGTATTATATTATGGCATAGTAATCATTTTGAATATGAATATTTGGGGGTTGTAGAATAAATCATTTGAGTTTCCATTATTTCTTCTGGGGAAATTCACTTTGATATACAAATGTTTTGGATTATAAGCACATTTCCTGAATGAATTATACTCTCAAGCTAAGCTTTTACTATACTTAGCTTTTTAATGTTAATCTTTTCAGCAACCGAGTTCTGTGCTCCATCTTTGTTGGCTGTAACTTTATAGGAGCTTCCTTTCTGACCAAACTCAAAACTTTTTAATCATTTTACTGGGCCATTTGCTCTTTATTCTCAAGGTACAGCTGAATAAAAGCCATCAACAGTAGCCATGCCACCACCTCAGCGTTAGACTGCAGTGAAAGTTCTTCCACTGGATTAATTAGCCCACTGTCCTTAATCTCTGTCTCTCTCAATGTCTCTGGACATAAGCAAAATGTAGACAGATTTTCTGCAAAAACATAATGCACATGGCCTAGAGTCCAGCTGCCTATGCAGCCCTTGTTTCCAACAGAGACTTCCTGAGCCTGGCCTTTACTGTCTGCATTGCTCTCAGAATTCCGATCTTCTGACCTCAACAAAAATCTCTCATCAAGCTTTTGACTCACAGCATTCTACAGCTGCTTCTCCAACTGGCTTCTCAAAACCTTTCCAATCGGGCCTGGGGATTTAGCTCAGCGGCATAAGCGCCTTCCTTGCAAGTGTGCGGTCATAAGTTCGATCCCTGGTACCGATAAAAAAGAAAAAGACCAAAAAAAAAAAAAATCTTTCCAATCACCTCCCATAAGCTGGGTTCAGAGGCTTCTGAACCACATGGCCAGGTAGTATCACAGCAACAACCTCTCTTCTCTGTTACCAAAAGCTTCCTTAGTTCTCACTAGAGAAACAGATTTAATATAAACATAAAGGAGTTATGAGGCTAACTTGCAATGGCCATCTGCAGCATCAGGTATGGAAAAGTACAAAAGAGATGCCTGGGTAATGAAGACCCAAAAGGTCCGATCAAAGGTCAAAGGTCTGGAGCTCACTGTAGAGTCCCATGCAAACCCGTATCAAGAGGCCAAATGATCTGTGCTGCAAGACTGAAGAGACTGTGCTGGGAGCCAGGGGACAGATATCCCAAGGAGAGGGCTTCTCTGAATTCTCCTGAGCTCTTTCACATCTATACTCTTTCTAGCTTAAAGACATAAATATAAATAGGTGATTGTTCACCAAGCCAAACAACACAGTCTTCAATGTCTTTGTTTATAAGACTTCATGATTGCAGACTCAAGAAGAAATTTAAAGTTACTATGTTATCATCTTTACAGATTCTGATAAAGGTGAGTTCATACCACTTAGGAAACAGTTACCCCAGGGACCATGTTCTCCCCTGTTGCCAACTGGAGAAAACATAAAATCATAACATTTTAGATTTTCTATATCATAGTAAAACTGTATCCTAAATGAAACTCCTGGTACATCAATTCCAACAGAGACTTCCTGAGCCTGGCCTTTGCTGTCTGCATTGCTCTCAGGATTCTGGTCTTCTGACCTCATGAACCATGAACTATGGTGAACCATGCTGGTATAAAGGCTGAATTCCAGATAACTCTCCCGGCTTCTCAGTATTCCAGGACTAGATTGCTAGTTAACAAGTTAGTCTGGCAAAGAAGGGACTTTGCCACCCCTCAGATGTCTTCTTCTGAACGGTTTTTGTAATGTAACAAAGCTCTTTTCCTGGGGAAGGGTCGTTGTTATTTGGCCAAGTTGGTCTTTGGTGTGGTGTAGTGTAGTCTTTGATGGTATTTGGTGCCCTGGGAAGCAGATCCAGGAAGTATCTAGGAAAACCTCCTCCCTCAGTTTTAAAAGCAATCTTTTTAAAACTAGAGAGGAGAAGACAGTAAACCTGATTTTTGAACTAGCCAGACTCAGAGTATTAATATCAAGTTAGAGACAAGCATTTAACAGGAATACTGAATAGTCTAGGCTCAAAGTTAAGTAGGAAAATAGGTCCACAGCCCACATCTACCTCACAATACACAGTTATTGTGTGCATGGCATTCCTACTTGCAATATGCAAGAATACTTGAAAGCAAAGTTACACTTTAAAAATGCAAACAGTAATGTCACATTGGTGATTATTTTCTTTAGTGTGGCATAGTGTGCTTTGATATGTTGAACACCCAGCAAAAGACTGAAAATCCACAGCGCCTCTTCAAACATATCCAAATACACAGTGAACTCTGCATCTGTAGTCACTGCTTCCCTACATCTACCACATCCAACCGACAAGGCCTGCTATTAACTCTGGAACACTGAACAATAGCTGGAAGGAATTAACTTATTAATTTATTAATTTAGCTTTTCGTCCTTCCACCTGAGTGGGGTGACCACTCAGGACTTCTTCTGTCTGCTCAAGTCCTATCTGGTCATGTGGGTCTCAAATGGTAGAGCAAACAGAAACAGATGGGCTAGCAACCAGTGACCAGCGCCACACCTGAAAACTCCACAGTGGTGTCCCCCACAAAACTATTAGAATATAAACCTAATTTAAAGCCATGAACAGGAGAAAGCCATCAAGAATCATGTATCTAAAAGAAAAAAAGGCATGCTCCACTGTGCCAAGTTTATACTACGTGGGGAAACATGGAGCCAGACTTTGAGTCTTTTTTTTTTTTTTAAATATGGTACAGGGAATTGAACTCAGGACCTCACACTTGCCAGGCAGGCACTATGCCACTGAGCTATATCTCCAGTCCCATAGATAGTGAGTCTTTGTACGTTCTCTTTTCTACAGAACAAGACAAAAGGAAGGCTCTTCCATAATTTGTAACCCTTCATCCTCAAAAGAAAGAGCAATAAAATTAGCATAAAGAGACAGGATCATGGGAAGAGGATATTCTTCAGGCCTTTCCCATGTGGCATTCTGCACACTGTCTACGAGTTCCATTTCCAGGGCTAGAGATGTAGTTTCACCCGACAGAACTTGCCTCTTTTGTGCAAGGCCCTGAGTTCCATCCCAATCCCTGCAAAAATTTAAAACAATAAACTAAAATCCAAGTCACAAGACCAGTGTCCTCTTCTGTACTGTAGAGACGAGAACAAAACTTGCCAAGTATTCCACATACTTGTCCTGAAGATAAAAAGAGACAAAACACACAAAATATTTGGTTCAATGCCCAATTCCCAAAAACGGGTACAATAAGGAACACCTTACTAACGGGTATAAATTAATTTTACCTAAACAGCTGGACTCTTTTCAGTATAAGAGAGTAGGGAGAGAGAGAGAGATAGAGACAGAGAAGTTATGAGAATTAAGTAATAGCTGGAAGGAAAGCAAAACATAGTAATGATTTCATACAGGATGCACAGAGCTCTACAAAAACCGCGTTTACATAGGCTAGGGGTTCAGGAGGGGAAGCCAAAGGAAATGCACTGGGTACCACCACAAGTTACAGCAGGGTCGCACCCTTACTGGTGCTCTCCGGGTTTTCAGTTGTGTGTTACTTACATAATGAATTTTGTTCATTTTGAAAGCTAAATGATACCTTTTTCATGATAAATTACCTACTTTCTCACCAAAATATTGAAGGTATCGTTTAATTTCCTCCAGAACTCAATGCAATGATCACTAACGATGATTCCATCCAGGTTATCATTATTAAGAACTGCGGGCCAGCCTCCAGGAGGAAGCAACACAAAGGAGATGAAGTTCTGCCTCGCTAGGTCCCTTGAGAATACAATGGTGTTCTCAGTCTGTTGTGAATCAGTTGGAGCCCTTCAAACAGAAAAAGGAGCAGAGGAAGGGCCTTGGGGAGGGAGAGAACAGGGGAGATAAAGGGGAAAGTAATTTACTGTGAGGATTACCACCTCCACTGTGAAGTCTGGCTGGGCAAATCTGAAGTCTGCAGAGACAGCCTGCAGGTTGGCAGATCTGGGGCAGAAGCTCACCTGCTGCCCCAGCGTGGGACTTCTTCATCCTCGGAGAAACCAGGTCTACTTTTAAGGACTTTTGACTGATTGGATAAAGCCCGTATGAGTTATCTGGGTAATTTCCCCTCCGAAAGCTTGCAGATGGTAATCCCACCTGCCCAGGTAAGCATCTGGTGGAATAACTGAGGCACTCCCCTTTCCAGACAGACGGACGCGTCTATTGGAGCCTCACAGCTTTTTGAATTTTATTTTCTCCTACTTCCTAGTTTACTTAAAGCCACAGTATCTGAGCTCAGTTCAGTCTCCACCAAACGAAGGCTCTTAAAGACTTACACCCTTGCTTGGCCAGCTAGACAAAGCTCCATCATCCAGGACGTCTCAACAGGTCAGAGTAGTAGTGTTCTGGTTCTCAGAGGACTTCTGTTCAGTCCTGCACACACACACACACACACACACACACACACACACACACAGTGAAAAGTCCACGAAAAGCAAAGTGTGCTTCCTATTTGCCGTAACGTCAAACACAGGGAGGCAGGGGTGGGGGACAGCTGAGTGTCTGCACTGTAGCCCCAGATGCTTTGTTCTGGCTGCCCTTGATTACGCTTTACTGTTATTGGACAGTCTACTGCTTAAAACTTACTTCAGGCTACAGTCTCTGGCTAATTTGTATAACCAGCCTGACGTGTCCCTCTACCAGCAGTTCTTAGCCAGCGCAGTTTTGCTCCTGGAGGTGAGTTTGCCCATCACAGTTGGACAGTGTCATATTCTGATTTCTCTTCTGATCCCATAAATATTTCACCTTTTACAACTGGATGATATCAAGAGTGTCAAGGCCAGGGATGGTGCAGTTACCCAACCTGAAATGTCATCAGTGCCTACGCAGAGATCCGAGCCCTACCGTAGAATGAGCATGCCGCAGATTCCATTTTTTTAAAAAGACACTAAAAAAATTCAGTAAGTTCCTCAAAATCTATATCTGTGAAGAAAAGCACAGTAGAAAGAAAGGTTGGAAATCATGGGTTTTCACTGCATACTGCATTAACCAAGGCTGTCCACAGAAACCGAATATATAGGAGATACACATGTAAAGATAGTGTCCACACAGGTACAGACACAAAGAGATTTGGAATAAGGAAATGGCTCATGGTCATGGAGGTTAGACAGTCTGAAAAGTGCAGAGCTGATTCCCAGTTCAGGTCCAAAGAGCAGGAAGAGCCCTTGTCTTGGTTCAGAGTCCATGGGTGCAGAGAATTTCCTCTTCCTCTGGGATGGGCAGGTGCTGTGCCAACCAGGCCCCCTGCTGATTTTAAACACAAGGGAGGCAATTTGCTTACTCAGTTATAGATTTAAAGGGCAATTTTATTCCAAAACACCCTCAGAAATACCCAGAATAAAGTTTGTCCAAATATCATGATTTAGTCAATTTGACACATGAAATCAAACACCATATCCATCGAGAAAAAGACACCAAAAAAATTTAATTAAATTTAAATTCAATTTAAAACCTGAAAATTAGTCTTCAATAATAGAGAACTGGTTAAACAGACTAATTCTGTTTGATATATGTTGGTATATTCTTAGCTATTGTGTGTTAGTGTGGTAGAAGATCAATCAGTGCCATGAAAACACTTCTTAAGCATCATCCACCATGGTTTTGCCGGCAGATGTGTGAGATCTTACAGAATACTGAGCTGTAACTCATGGAGTTCAGAAATCTGACTCCATTAACACTAAGCACGCACCACACCACCCCCTTACCAAAGCCATAAAACCACAGGTCTGGAAGGAAACTTTGTGTTCAATCCTTCCAAAGTGTGATTTAAAGAAGAACAGGATGGTGACAGATTTATCTTACATTATTGATGGAATCTCAATTTCAGATACTTCTAAAATCATAAACATTTAAATAGCAATTAGGATTTGATATCGACTGGAAAAAATGAATAGAATAGTCCAAACCCGCGCTGGTGGGAGGGAGGTTGCACTATTGCCGTTTTGCTGAAAGTAAAGATTGCATAAGACAGACCAATTGACATGATAGTGTATCGTTAGTATCCAAGGAGTCCCCAGGAAAGGTCTGTCTTGGCTGTACCTTAGGATTCTCTGTAGAGTAACATAAAAATACAGCTGCATGGGGCCCTTGTCAGATTTACCAGTAGGATTTCCTTCCCTTGTAGCTGGAACTGCTGATCTAGAATTTCACTTAAATTTTTTACTTATCTAGATATACCCAAGAATAAACTTTTTAAAAATATTGGCTATGAAAACTATGATTTAAAAAAAACAGGCTAGGGGCTGGGGATTTAGCTCAGCAGCATAAGCGCCTGCCTTGCAAGCAGGCAGTCGTGAGTTTGATCCCCAGTATCGGTAAAAAGGAAAAAGACAAAAAAAAAACAAAAAAAAGAAAACAGGCTGACAGTTTCAGAAGCAAAGAAGTACAACTACTTTTTCCAGTTTTAAAATAAAGTTCTGAATTAGAAAAGGTCTTTCTGAAATTACCATCAAAAACTGTTGTCTTCAGTTTTTCTTTAGCAAAATCTGTTATGAAATACACTTCCTCTATTTGGAAGGTGGATGAATTAATTCTTTTTAAACTTACTATAATTCATCAAAGGACCCTCCTTTGACATACGTGTTACACTGTTATTTGCATTTGTTGAACACCAGAGATTTCATCTAAGAAGTCCAAAGGAAACAAAAGAAGATTGAAACAAAATTCAAGTAGATTATTGTGAATAGGATTATGATTTTCAATGATAAAAACGACTGCATGACGGTATATAGTATGTTCAGTAAACTAGGATGTTGTACGGGCTCTAGAAGTAGCGTCTGAAGCAAGTCATGGACTTCTGAGGTGGCTTACAACACAGTACTTCGGCAAAAAGCAGTCTGGTGGCAAACTGTTAGGAACAATGTAACTTCAGCACACACATGCCCCTTCACCAACACAAGGAGAAGGAAATACACCAGTGATTATATTTCTTCCATTTTGTGGATTTTCCTTAATAAGAATGGTTGGTCTTCAATAATCAGAAAAGAAGGGAAAGAAGGATTTCGCCCCTTGTGTGAACAGTTTTCCACTGCAGGCAGCATCCCACAGCCGGCTGAAAGGTAAGAAGTCAGTGCTGACCTCTGTCCAGGGACAGGAGTTCTAGCATGTTCCCTGGAATTCATCTAGGATCCTTATTTAAAATGTGCAGTCCCTGCACATTAGGGTGGGTACAGTTCTCAGCTAGTTGGTATATATTTTATGAAGAAGTAGAAGGGAAGGGTTCAGACAGTCCCCACACAAGGAAATGATACACGTGAGGTGATGCTTATGCTGACTGCCCTCATTTGATCCTTATATATTGATTGTATCCTCTTCCTGAATTATTACGCTGTACACACACAGATGAACAATTATGTGTCAATTGCTTTTTAACTTTTTGAAATAAAATGCTTAAAATTATGCACACCCTGAGACCCATCCCATAAAGATTCCAGTTCAGCACGCCTGGGCGGGTACCTGGCTGTCCACACTTTTCACACCTAGTCGCAGGACTGCTGAGCAGTGAGCAGGGACACACTCAGAGAGGTCCCCGAATCTCTGAGCTTTCAGTGGCTGCACCTGTGGTGATTCTCGCAGCTGGATTCTCCTCCTCTTACCTGGTTTTCTTTTCAACCTGAGGCTTGCAGACCTGCTGGAGCACGGGGTCACTGGGCATCAGACCCACTCTCAGAGGCTCCCTGTGAATAGGTGCAGGTCCTGCCCACCTCTGTGCATACTTGGAAAGCTCCCCAGGTGACAATCCTGTGTGCGAGTGTGATCAGCAGTCTGCAAACCCATAGTCAGCAGCCCCCTTGTCCACTCAGCCTGCTTCACTTCCAAGGCATAGGGGCCTGAGTGAACTGCCAGGTACAGTGTGCCAGCAGGCCCCTGGCTCTGGGGGACAATGAGGGCATGGAGAAGGATTTTCACGCCAAGTGGAAAGACGTTGCTCTGAACAAAGCTTCCCCAAAGAGAGGTTCTTTAGGGACCCTGCCCTTTCTCCCTGAGAAAGATCTCCCGCTCAATAAAGTGAGAGAACTTTCAGACACAGAAAATAAGATTCTCCCACAGGCAAAAGAGGGTCCTTCTCCCTCCTGAGAAACGTTCTGCTTCAGCTAGCCAAAAGCAAGCAAATAAATAGCTAATACTGTATGTTCATAGGTCCTGAATCGGTGTTCAATAAATACATATATAGGCTGAGGCTATAGCTCAGCAGCATAGCACCTGCCTGGCAAGCGCAAGGTTATGAGTTTGATTCCCGGTATAGAAAAGAAATCTTGTATTTATTATTGGTTACTAAAACCAGAACATTCTCAGAATGGAAAAAAAAAACTTTGTTTCTAGTAAAATATATGTCTATATAGAAAAACAGAGTATTGCAAAAGGAATACATCGTTAAACATTCAAACCACTCAGAAGAAAGAGAAAAAAATAAGCAAGTTCTCGCAGGCTGCCGGTAGCACTCACCCACTTTTGTTGTGTGCCTTTCCAGACCTCTCTAAGCACCAGAAAAGATGCATAAAGTTGATTATTTAACTGGGAACATATTGTTACACAGCTAGCTTTTTAAAAAATCTATGCTGCACCCTGGATCTTTTGTTCTCTAGATGGACAGGACCACTCAAGGTTTACTATATTAAATAAGTTTACAGCTGTTTCAAAGATAAATCAAGTTTAATGATTCCTCACCAGTGGATGGTTAATTCTGTGTGTCAACTGGACTGGCCCATGAGGTGCCTGCTATTTGGTCACACAGCACTCGGGGCGTGTTGGGCAGGCTTCTTGGTGAAGTTGACACACGCTTCGGTGCACGGGGAGAGAGCAGGCGACCCTCCCTGACACAGCAGGCTCCTCCTGGCCCCTGAAGGCCTAAAGAGAACAAAAGGCTGAGAATAAAAGAATTCTCTCCCCGCCTGGCAGTCTGAACTGAGTCATTAGTCTTCTGCTTTATAGCTCAAACTAGACCCACATCAGCTCTCCTGGTCCTCTGCCCTGTGCCCACAGGCTGGAACTACACCTGCAGCCACCTCGGTCCAGGCCAGCCAGCTGCAGGTCCTGGGGCTTCTCAGGCTCCCAATCACACGAGCCCATGTGTTACAGAAAACACACATGCAAACACATGTGTGTGTGTGTCGTGTGTGTGTCTGTCAGTGTGTGTAGACTGAGGATTCCTAATCCAAAATGGGAAATCCAAACTTCTCCAAAGTAGGATATTAGTGCCAACGGGGTGTCACAAATGGAAAACTGCACTCTGGGAGACTTTATGGCATGCATGAAGTCATTAAAAATTTTGTTAAAAATTTAGCTTCAATGTAAGCTTACCAGGAAACAAGTGACTTTTGTGTCCACATCCCCCAGCCATCTCAATGCACACATGAAAATATCCAAAATCCAGAGCATTTGGAAGAGAGATACTCTGCACTCCTGTTTCTCTGGAAAAGCCAGTCCTGCCGGGTCTTCCCTTCCACTGACATCCTGGTCTGCGGCACTCTCCTCTGTTAGGGTTTAGATTTCCTTCCCTCTGTTTGGCTTGGTTCATTCTGTCCTATTCTCAGACAGTTCCCCGGACACAAGTCTTCATTTATTTGAACACTATATCAGTGTCGTACTTTAACTGTGTCTCCCAAACGAAGCGACACTGGTTTACTTATGTGATTTTCATTTTCCCCACCTTTCAACCTTATTCTGTATTTCAGCTTTCTTTCTTTTTTGTGGGGGGAAGGCGGGGAGACCAAGGTTTCACTGTGTGGTTCAGGCTGCCCTTGGGCTCACTTTGTAGCCCAGGCTGGTCTTGAACTTGCAATGATTCCTCTGCCTCAGCCTCCCGAGTGCTAAGATTGCAGGAGTGCACCACCCTCCCCCCTTATATTTGAGATTTCTAATAACTATAACCCTATCACTCCCCGTTACTTCCCACTCCGCCGAATACCAAGGAATTACCAAGTATGAGCTCTACCAGGCCTGGGCCCTTTGCTCTACTCGCTGGCACCTCCAGAAGGGGGCTTGTCCATGTCAGGTGCTTGATAAAGATTTGCCAATTGAATGAATGACGTCCCTTTCTCACACTTCTGTGTCCCAAACCTGATTACACCTGACGAATGTATTAAGATTTTCTGCCAAATAATTAACTTCCTCCAGTGGGGCGAATTGTGGGGCTAAGTACCCCTTACAGCCATCTGCTCACACACGAGAAGAGAAGCTCACAAATCCTATAAAATAATTTTCTGGGGCTGGGGATTTAGCTCAGTGGCATAAGCGCCTGCCTTGCAAGCAGGCAGTCATAAGTTTGATCTCCGGTACCGATAAAAAGGAAAAAGACAAAAAAAAAATTTTCTCCCTGTCTTCCTCATCTTTCTCACTCATAGAATTCTATCTTCATGAGCCCGGACGTCATGGCCATAACACTGCCCCAAACTCGTTTCATTTCTGGCTTCTGTGTAGTGGTGCGGTGCCCTTGCATGAGGCTTCACTGGGCCTTCTCAGTCAATGAACACTGAGACTAAGATCAGAAACCATGTTTTGGACTAAAGAGAAATGCTGATGTTTATTCTCCTTTATGAGTGATTATCTGGTATTCAACTTTCTTCTAATTAGTCGTCTTCTAATTGTTCATCTGTGTGTGTACAGCGTAATAATTCAGAATTAGATTATTATTATACATTTATTGAGCAACTTTCTTCTACTTTCTGTGTCTGAAAGTTCTCTCACTTTATTGAGCGGGAGATCTTTCTCAGGGAGAAAGGGCAGGGTCCCTAAAGAACCTCTCTTTGGGGAAGCTTTGTTCAGAGCAACGTCTTTCCACTTGGCGTGAAAATCCTTCTCCATGCCCTCATTGTCCCCCAGAGCCAGGGGCCTGCTCGCCCGTGATTTCCAGACAAATGTCCTTGGCTGGGATAGACTAACTCTCCGTTAAAATAAAGGACACTTCTTTAACTTCTGCTTTATTCTAGGTGAGTGTCTTGGTTACTTTTCTCTCATTGCTAGGACAAAATACTTGACCATCAAAATTAGGGAAGGATAGGTTTATTTAACTTATAGTTTTTGGAGGTTTCAGTCCATATTCAGCTGGATCCAAGTCAGGGTGGCTTGGCAGAGGACAACAGTTCATGGAGACCACAAGTGACAAGGGCAAAAAGGAAAAGCAAGCCTCCTTCCCTCTGTTACATTGCATGCTGGCTCCCTGCCCCTGGGCAGGCTCAGCACTCACACCAATCCCAGCGCTGGACAACAAGCCAGTCACAAATGCTAGACTCAGCCACCCCCAAAAGCCCCCTCTCCATGACTATATGAGGCTTGGGGATACATTTAAACATAAACCGTAACAGTAGGCATGCTGTCCTTCCTTGAGTTAGAGAGAGAGAGAGAGAGAGACCCAAATGAGGACTCTGAACAACTAAGAAATCTCCATTAGACCTTGGCAGAGGCCCAAAGAGACCACCAAGCTTGCTTATAAATGGCAGGGTCTAATAAAAATGTGATGATGATTATTATTATACATTTATTGAGCAGCAAAAATGTACTAAATTAAAAATGTATATACTGTTTTTCATACTTCCTGATGGGCATGTGGAAACTGCGGGCTGTCTGTTCAGCCCGGTAATTGGCCCATTGTCTTCACAGCCTGGTGGCTGCCAGGGTCACTGTCTTGCTCAGCCGCCTGGGGTTTTCTGCAGACCAAGGTCCACACCTCACCCAGCCCCTATGTCTACCTCAAAATTACTCTGTTGAGTCAATCAATGTAGAATAAGAATGTTTACCAAGTCCATTGAGCTGTTTATAGTTCTCCGCAAGAAAGGCCTGAGTTGAGGTTTCAGAGAGAAGAATTTCCTGCTTAACTCAAAGATCACACATAGAGTGATTTGGTTTCCTACGTCTACTTCTGATTTAGAAATCGCTGCAGGTAACTGTTAATCATCTTAAGCGAATTCCCTTCTTCTCTGGCGAATAACAATATGAAATGAATTCCACAGAGCATTTTAGAATTCCTCCCAACCACCACTGTTTTACAAGCACTTCAGCAACTCTTAGACAAAGTACCTAAAAAATACAGCCAATGTTTAATGAGTGGGAAACTACAACTTATATTTCAATCCAGAAATGAGTGTGTTGTAAGCTGCTATCTCTAAACTCTGAGAAAGATGGAATGTGAGTCACTCGCCTCTCTCCTCCTTTTCACCTTTCCTCTTTAAAGCTATACTCAAAGCACAACAGAGAGTGAATGCTGCAGAACCCAACATGACTAGTGCCATTACCACATACCTAAGGCCGGACTTAAAAGGGGGCCTCCCCCCCTTAGCAAGCATGTTCGTGCACGCCTGTAATCCGAAGATGTGGGAGGCTGAGGCAGGAGGATCACTGTGATTTCAAGGCCAGCCTCAGCTACGAAGTGAGTCTGACACCAGCCTGAGCTGCATAGTGAAACCCTGTCTCAAAAAGAAAAAGAAAAAAACAAGATAACCTGCCTTTGCATCCACGATTATTTTCATACACAAATAATGTATGTTCAGTTGGTCATTTCTGAGGTAAATTGAGGCTGACTCCTCATTTTGATTGAGTAAGGGATCATTTTCTAATGAAATTACATTTTAGGAACAATTTTTATACCTGAATTCTATGGGGGAGACAAGTGATTAACTCTAAAATGATAGCAAGAGCTCCCTCTCACACCTAGGATACTAGGTCTGGGATGTAACACACTCGAGGCCCTGATTTCCACCTCCAGCACAAGCAAGAAAGACAGGAAATGCCCTTGTGATTGGTTCACTCCCTGCACGCTCACCCATCAAATACGACAAACTAACTGCAATTTAGAATAGCTAAAACAGAGTCAGTTTTGCTCCAGGAAAAGAATGATGGTGAAAAAGGCTTATCTGGTGTCCAGAAGCTGCAGTTTCTTAAAAGTGCAATTTTAAAATTAAAAAAAGACTTACCTTACTCTGTGTCGGCCCGGTTATCTTAAATATCATCTTCCTATGTGGATTTCATATCAGAAATCCCTTGCGGGCTGGGGTGAGGCTCAGAGGTGTAGCCCTTACCTCGCAGGCCAGAGGCCCTGTTCTGTAGCTCATTCAGCACCCGGGTCTTGGTGCACAGAAAACAGTCAGTGTCCGTGGTCTCCAAATGTAGGAAAATCAGTTAGCCATGTCATTTAGAGAAAGAGCTGTCATGACCGCGAAATACAGGGCTCTTGCAGGGCCAGGGCCAGGCCCAGGACGAGGCAGGTGAGACCCCAGGATGCAGACCCCAGAGGCCCTGCTGCTCTGTGCTGACCTGCACGGTGCGGCCCAAGAGAGGCCCCTCACCTTTTACATGTGGGGTGTCTGTCTGATCACCCCATTCAAGTCCTTCCTCAATCCAGCCAGCACTGTCATGACTGGGAGAGGCTGGTCATTCCACCCCAGGAGGGAAGGCAGCCCTGTCCCTGTGGCTCACCGTGAGTCCTGCTGTGACTTTAACACGGGGACTCCTCCAGGCAGGGTCTGGCACTACCTGGGCATCACACTGGTGATAGTAAAACACGTGCTGGTAAATGGGTCCTAGTATTTTCAACACATTTTTAATTGGCGCATAACAATCGTACATACCCACGGCGCTCTGAAACCTGGGCCATGTGTAACACAGCAGATCATGGTGCCTGGCACAACCATCATCACCTCAAGAGCTGCTTTTTCCTGGCAGCGCTGGGCATGAAACCCAGAGCCTCTCACACACTGGCCAAATGCTCTGCTACAGAGCTGCCTGGCCAGCTCTGATACTCATCCCACCCAGCATGGCGCGGCTCTTACCCTCCTGTGAGCTCCATCTGAGAGCCCTCTTCCCCCTCCATCGGCTGTCCCTCCTTTTCCTGCAGGAGCCTTTAGGGCACTCTTCACCGTGAGTCAGGTAGAAGGAGCGGAGCAGGACTGTCCCTGCCCTCTGCAAGGCGCCTTCCACCAGGACGAGGGCCCAAGGCCCTCGCTGCTCTTGGCCGCTCCTCCCTTCCTGGTTCTGCAGTGATCGCTTCTTGCCTGCATCTCTGGAGCTCCTCGACCTCCAGGAGATGCCTGGCCCCAGCACCCCCAGCCCATGCCCATGGTCTCGGTGAAAAGGCCACTGTGTAATTGGTGCCATTAGCCCTGCTACTGTCAGGCAGTTGCCGAAGCTTCCTGGAGGGACTGCGGGAGGCGCCGGCCCCGGTGCACTCATGTAGAACAGCAGGCCTTGCACTAATTCCCAGGCTCCCCCCATTAGGGAGAGAAGCAGCTCATTAGAGGTCCTCCCCTCTCAACACCAATTACCCCGGGATAATGACCGGCGTGGAGTATGCTCACGGCCCTCATTCATGATCTCCCTTGACTGCACCCTCAGCCCCCCCACTCGGCCGGGCAGACCCACATGGTCAGCCATGTGGACACTGGGCCACGCTAATTGAAAGAGCTGAGCCTTCTTAGCTACTATGAGAGTTTCAGAGAAATCGCTTCAACAGAACAGAGTAGCAGAGAAACTGTTTTTATTTCATATTTTCCCAATGAGGTGAGGAAGGAGCCTTGCACAGGAAGGTAAAGCAAAATCACTGGTCTCTGAATTATTAAAATAGCTCTCAGCTTTGCAGAAAACTGTCTACAGCTGAAATCCTAACCTGATGTCCCCTCTGCCCATGTCATGTTCGTTTTGGGAGCAAAGGTTTGCAGGGGCAGAGGAAAAGGCTGGGAAGAAGAATAGGAATTTCCCAGAAAGTGAAAAAAAACAAACAAGCCACTTCTCCGGGACTGCGTCTTCATGCACCAGTGGATTGTTCTACACAGCCTGGGCCCCCATGATTTTCGAATTCTTTTGTCCAGTGCCATTAAAACTTCTTTTCTGCTTCCTTGCTCTCTTCCTGCCTCATTCATTATTCATTGTGGAGTTTCATGCGAGTTCAGGAGCCATCATCGCTCTCTGGCTTGGGTGTTTCCTCATTCACTCTGCCCCTGTCATCCTCACCAGCCCTAGCTCTGGGCAGGGGGCCCCTTCCTATTCCTGAGTACCATCTGCAAAGTGCCTGGTTACTCCTGTCTGCACTTGTTCATGGCAGTGTCTTCATAGCACAGTAATAAGAAAATGCATCACTCATTGTTTCAGGCTTTAATAAATCAACCTGTTGTTTTCTGTGCATGGCAATATACTTTCAAATATGCAGAAGCACTTTGGGAGAAGATTGCATTACTGAAAGATCTTGTACGTAGGCACTAATGAAGGAGATATTTTTACAGATAAACCAAACAGCTCAGAGCCCACATATTGTAAGGATACTGTTAGCAGAAACATGGCCCATGTTTTTCTAGTGTCTTAACCTCAAATCCCAAAGTCCCGAAGGAAAAAGCTGTAACTGTTTGGAATGTAATAGAGCTGTCAAAACGACATGAAATCAGTTCCACAAATGGCAAAACATAAATCACTCTTCTGTTTAATTTCTGGCAAGATGAAAATAAAAATTGTTGGTTCTACATAAAAAACACAAACAAGGAATATAGGCGCCCTCTTGCGGAGAGGACCAATACTACCCCTTCTAAATAGCTTTCTCCAAATCAAAGTCCAAAATACTGGGTTCATTTCAAAGAACATTCACCCTTCTAATTATAGCACAAGAGGATATTTACCCTGAGAGCAAAGGTATCATAATTGCATTGTCCTTGTAATCAGAGGCCTTGTCTCCCAAATTGAAGTTCTTGGATTAGTTTTGTACATCCACCTGTAAGTCACTGTTGCCCTGTGAACTCACAGAGGAGCTTATACCTGCTCCACTGGAATTTTAGAAAGATCTGAGAACATTCTGGCTTATAGAGAGTTCTGCTGGGCTCCCTTTGAGTCCTCTTCCTTTTAGGACGCGTAGCTTTATGTTTTATATCTAATGACCTGGACCTTTTTCCCCGCCTTCTTTTCACCAAACACTGTCCTTGAATAATATGGGAAAGAAAGCTTGGGATGAGCAAGTCTTGTGATCATGAGCACATGGTTCTGTTCTTGTGCTTGGAAAGCATGCTAGGGCAGGATCCCTTTCGTAGCATGTGTTATGCTCCACCAGAGCTGCCTCGCTGCTTCTCCGCGAGCCCTGTGATTGAAAGCTCTGTGAGGAAGAAACCATCTCCTCTTTGGATTATGGCATTCTCAGAAACTCGCAGTTTCGGGAGTGCAGGGGATGCTTCCTACTAAGGTAAGGCAGCGACATGAAAACTTGGCTTGCTAAAAGCAGCAGCCAAGATAGCCCCACAGGTATTAACAGGCAAAGGGGAACGGCGGTGGTAAGAGGAATTGTAAGTGCAATCACAAGAGGCTCACCTTTGCCAACAAGGGAAAGTAGAGGCCAGAGAA